CATGGCTCTGGAAGTTTCTGACAATACTCAAAATCCTACACAAAAGGCAGAATACATTTTGGATTTTCACCACATAAAAACAGAGTATGCTGATTTATTTGAAGGTGATGGGTGCCTGGAAGGTAAATACAAACTAGAAATTGATCACACAATACAGCCTACCAGACTGCCTACAAGAAGAGTACCTGTAGCCTTAATGCAACCGCTTAAAGAGGAACTGCAGGATTTGCACAGCAGAGGTATGATAGCACCAGTACAGGAAAGCACAGACTGGATAAGCAGTTTTGGTGATAGTGAAAAAACCATCAGGCAAGTTAAGAATATGCATTGATCCTAAGCCACTGAACAAGGCCCTTAAAAGAAATCACTATCCAATGCCAACAATAGAAGATATTCTACCAGATCTATCAAAGGCTAAAATATTTTCGGTATGTGATGTGAAAAATGGGTTCTGGCACGTGGAACTGGATAAAGAATCAAGTTTATTAACAGCATTTTCTTCCCCATTTGGACGCTATAAGTGGCTTAGAATGCCAATGGGAGTAAGCCCAGCTCCAGAAGTGTTCCAACAAAAATTGATGCAAGCTTTGGAAGGACTGTCTGGAGTAAAAATAATAGCAGACGATATACTAATAGTTGGGGAAGGTGATGATCTAGAATCCGCGCAACAAAGGATCACGATAAAAAAGATACAATTCTTAGACAGATGTAGAAAAAAACAAATCAAACTGAACCTGGAAAAATTCAAACTAAAAATGACAGAAGTACCATATATTGGACATCTTCTTACCTCAAATGGTGTTAAAGTCGATCCAGAGAAGGTGAGGGCGATACAGGACATGCCGACACCTACAGATATACGTGGAGTACAACGATTCCTGGGCATGGTGAATTATCTTTCCAAATTTTGCAAGCATTTATCAGACATGTGTGAGCAGCCACTGAGACAGCTAACTCACAAAGACGTACTCTGGGAATGGACAGAAAGCCATGAAACTGCTTTTCAGTCAGTGAAAAATGCTATTGCAGACGCAGCAACGCTAAAATATTTTGATCCAGATCAAGCAGTGGTAGTACAATGTGATGCCTCAGAAACGGCCTTGGAGCCACACTAATGCAGGATAAACAGCCAATCACATATGCAAGCAGAGCGTTAACTCTAACAGAGCAAGGATATGCTCAAATCGAGAAGGAACTACTAGCGGTAGTATTTGGGTTAGAGAAATTTCACCAGTACACCTACGGTCGACAAGTGGTGGTGCATTCAGATCACAAGCCTTTAGAAAGTATTACAAAGAAGCCACTACTGAATGCCCCAAAAAGACTGCAGCGTATGCTGTTAAGGCTTCAGAAATATGATTTTAACATTTGTTACTGTCCAGGGAAGGATTTACTGATTGCAGATGCCCTAAGCAGAGCTTACTTACCCATCACAAATGAAGAAGAAAAAGACATTGAAAGCATCAATATGTGTGAATATCTGTCTGTCTCAAAAGACAGACTGAAACAAATACAGACCTGCACAGCGGAAGATAAAACTCTACAGATCCTATCGACTGTCATCTTGAAGGGATGGCCAAAACACAAGCAGCATGCTCCAATGGAGGTTTCTCCATTTTTTCACATAAGAGATGAACTCTCTGTGCAGCATGGAATCATCTTTAAAGGAGAAAGAGCTGTCATACCACAATCCCTTAGAAGAGACATTATAGAAAGATTGCACTCGACTCACTTAGGTGTAGAAGGATGTCTACGTCGTGCACGAGAATATGTTTATTGGCCTGGAATGAATGACCACATAAAAAACTTTATAGCACAGTGTGAAATATGTGCATCGTGCAATGATAAGCAACCGAAAGAGACATTGCAACCACATACAATTCCAAACAGACCATGGTCAAAAGTAGGAACAGATCTGTTCACGTGGAACGACAAGGAATATCTGGTAACTGTGGACTATTTTTCCAACTTCTGGGAGATAGACTACTTACAGGACACAAGGGCCAAAACAGTAATTAAAAAACTCAAGGCCCATTTTGCCAGATATGGCATTCCGGATATTGTGTTCTCTGACAACGCCGCTCAATTTACATCGGAAGAATTCAAAAAATTCAGGGAGAGGTGGGAATTTGAGCACCAGACATCATCTCCTGGATATCCGCAGAGTAATGGTAAAGCCGAGTCAGCAGTAAAAACAGCCAAAAGACTCATGCAAAAGGCAAAACAGGCAGGTACAGAGATATACCTGTCTATACTGGACCACAGAAACACACCCACACAAGGCCTAGACACCAGTCCAGCACAGCGGCTTATGAGTAGACGTACAAGGACTCTCCTACCAACTGCAGGTCAACTACTAAAGCCAAAGCTTGTGGGCAATGTTAAAGCCAAACTAACGAAGAATCAAGATAGGCAAGCTTTCTATTATAATAAATCTGCAAAAGATCTGCCTGTTCTCCAGAGCAATGACAATGTACGGATTCAGCCAATAGGGAAATATGACAAACACTGGAAAAAAGCGAAGGTTGTACAGAAATTGGGACCACGGTCCTATGAAATTATAACAGAGGAAGGAAGAAGATGGAGGAGAAATCGGAGACATCTGAGAAAAACACAAGAAGGAGATGATACAGGGCCCTGGGAACAGTATATGGACACTCAAAGTGATGAGACTATGAATACCAGCAACAAAGAAACAGGGACTGCTGAGGAGCATAGGGAGGTCTCTAGGCAGAGAGAGACAGTCCCAGAAAATAGACTGCCAGAATCAGAAGAACACCAAGATTTCTGTGAAGAAACCTCATATGTTACGCGAGCTGGCAGAACAATCAGAAAGCCGGCTCACCTCAAGGATTATATCTAATTTATAGCTATGTTCTACTTCACCATTTTGTGTTTGTTATATTTCATTGTTCTTTTATTTAAAAGAGAAAGGATGTAGCAATATGTTATATGCTGTGTATGGCCTCTAGGGGTCTCACTACTTAGATACTGGTACAACTGTGTTATTGCCTCTCTTTGGTTGTAGTTCTAGGGCAGACACATGTATAATGGCAGCTAGAAGCACCTAATAAAATGTCTCCTGTTAACTACAGTGTGTGAGCATCTGAGCAGGATCCACTATAATTTATTGACACTAACAATACAAACATAAACGCAGTGCAATACTAAAACATAACACAGTGCAAATGAACCAAACCACCCACAGATAACAGTACATACAATGCAAGCGTCGTCAGGCAGGCCGGGTCAATATCAATCGGGCAGGTAGGTACAGGGGGAGCAAGCGGAGAATGGTCGGGGTCACAAGCCAGGTTCAGCAGGTAGCGGGGCAGCGTGGTACAGAGGGTAAGGCAGAGGGATGGTCAGGAACGAGCCGAGGTCAGAGCAGGAGAAGTCAGCAGAGGTCAGATCAGGCAGGGTCAGCAACAAGACAGGAACAGGAACAGGATACAGGGCCCAGGAAAAACACACACCAAGGCAGAGTCTGCAGGTCTGGCCATCCCTTAAATACACCAGTATAAGCAGTTTCAGGTGTTTAGCTGGCTGCAAGGTTGAGTCTGATTGCTGGGAGCACCCGCTGGCCAGCCCTGGTACTGCAGCCCATAAGGCAGGCGAGTCCCACCATTGCTGGCCAGTCCATTCCTGACAGCACCCCCCCCCTCAAGGAGTGGCCTCAGGACGCTCCAAACAGTCCTAGCTGGGCAAAATGTTCCACCGCCCGGGTCTGGTAACTGGCGGGATATCAAAGACTGGCACACCGGGCAGGACTCCGGGCAGCGGCCCATCGGGCAGCGGCACATCGGGCAGAGGCACACATCGGGCAGAACTCCGGGCAGAGGCACATCGGGCAGCGGCACATCGGGCAGGACTCCGGGCAGAGGCACATCGGGCTGGACTCCGGGCAGAGGCACATCGGGCAGGACTCCGGGCAGAGGCACATCGGGCTGGACTCCGGGCAGAGGCACATCGGGCTGGACTCCGGGCAGAGGCACATCGGGCTGGACTCCGGGCAGAGGCACATCGGGCTGGACTCCGGGCAGAGGCACATCGGGCTGGACTCCGGGCAGAGGCACATCGGGCTGGACACCGGGCAGAGGCACATCGGGCTGGACTCCGGGCAGAGGCACATCGGGCTGGACTCCGGGCAGAGGCACATCGGGCTGGACTCCGGGCAGAGGCACATCGGGCTGGACTCCGGGCAGAGGCACATCGGATCACCAGGCGAAGCAGCAGGCAGCGGGCCACAGGCGGAGCAGCAGGCAGGCCCCGGGCCCCCAGGCGGAGCAGCAGGCCCGGGCCCCCAGGCGGAGCAGCAGGCACCAGGCGGAGCCCCAGGCGGGGCGGGGCAGCAGGCACCGGGCCCCCAGGCGGAGCAGCAGGCACCGGGCCCCCAGACGGGGGCGACAGGGGCATCGGGCCCCCAGGCGGGGCGACAGGCATCGGGCCCCAGGCAGGCGGGGGCGCCAGGCCCCCAGGAGGGGCGACAGGCATCGGGCCCCCAGGCGGGGCGACAGGCATCGGGCCCCCAGGCGGGGCGACAGGCATCGGGCCCCCAGGCGGAGCGGCGGGCATCGGGCCCCCAGGCGGAGCGGGCGGGGCCGGGCCCCCAGGCGGAGCGGCGGGCGCCGGCCCCAGGCGGGGCGACGGGCTTCGGGCCCCCAGGCGGGGCGACAGGCATCGGGCCCCCAGGCGGGGCGACAGGCGCCGGGCCCCCAGGCGGGGCGACAGGCATCGGGCCCCCAGGCGGAGCGGGCTGGGCCGGGCCCCAGGCGGGGGCGACAGGCATCGGGCCCCCAGGCGGGGCGACAGGCATCGGGCCCCCAGGCGGGGCAACAGGCATCGGGCCCCCAGGCGGGGCGACAGGTCATCGGGCCCCCAGGCGGAGCGGCGGGCGCCGGGCCCCCAGGCGGGGCGACAGGCATCGGGCCCCCAGGCGGGGCGACAGGCATCGGGCCCCCAGGCGGGGCGACAGGCATCGGGCCCCCCAGGCGGAGCGGCGGGCGCCGGACCCCCCAGGCGGAGCGACAGGTCTCGGGCCCCCAGGCGGAACGGCGGGCGCCGGACCCCCAGGCGGAGCGACAGGTCTCGGGCCCCCAGGCGGGCGGAGCGACAGGCACCGGGTCACCAGGCACACAGTGGGCTTCCGAGTCAACTGGCATGACCGCTGGCACTGGGTTAGACATTGGATCGTCTGGCTGGACAGCGGGCATTGGGTCACCAGGCATCAGGTCATTTGGCTCGACAGCGGGCACCGCGTCATCTGGCAAGGCAGTGGGCTCCGAGTCAACTGGTATGACCGCGGGCACTGGGTCAGACATTGGATCGTCTGGCTGGACAGCGGGCATCGGGTCACCAGGCATCAGGTCATTTGGCTCAACAGCGGGCACCGCGTCATCTGGCAAGACAGTGGGCACCAAGTCACCAGGCACGACAGTGGGCTCTGACTCAATTGGCACGACAGCGGGCACTGGGTCAGACATTGGATCGTCTGGCTGGACAGCGGGCATCGGGTCACCAGGCATCAGGTCATTTGGCTCAACAGCGGGCACCGCGTCATCTGGCAAGACAGTGGGCACCAAGTCACCAGGCACGACAGTGGGCTCTGACTCAATTGGCACGACAGCGGGCACCGGGTCATCAGGTACCGGATTGTCTGGCTCGACAGCGGGCATCGGGTCACCAGGTATGACAGCGGGCACTGGGTCACCAGGCATCAGGTCATTTGGCTTGCCAGCAGGCACCGCGTCATCTGGCAAGGCAGTGGGCACCAAGTCACCAGGTACGACAGCGGGCTCTGAGTCAATTGGCACGACAGCGGGCACCGGATCAGGTACCGGATCATCTGGATCAACAGCGGGCATCGAGTCAACTGGCCTAATAGGATCATCAGGCTGGATCAGTTCATCATGCTGGGTAGAGGCATCAGGCTGAGTGGAGGCGTCAGGCTGAGTGGAGGCATCAGGCTGAGTAGAGGCATCAGGCTGAGTAGAGGCATCAGGCTGAAGAGAGGCATCAGGCTGAAGAGAGGCATCAGGCTGAAGAGAGGCGTCAGGCTGAGTAGAGGCGTCAGGCTGAGTAGAGGCGTCAGGCTGAGTAGAGGCGTCAGGCTGAGTAGAGGCATCAGGCTGAGTAGAGGCATCAGGCTGAATAGAGGCATCAGGCTGGGTACAGGCATCAGGCTGGGTACAGGCATCAGGCTGAGTAGAGGCATCAGTTAGAACACTATCAAACTATTACAGGAGGTAATAAAAATATCACCTTAGGCTATTCATCATAATTTATGCAAGTTCCTAAAAAGAGTTGAATTTGCTGACAGTGTGAGTCATGTAAGCTGCATATAATGATAGTGTCAGGGCTCCAGGGTATGACCAGAGGTGTGTGACTGACACAGGGAAACGCAGACTTCAGATATGTTATAAACAATATAATTTATTGACACTAACAATACAAACATAAACGCAGTGCAATACTAAAACATAACACAGTGCAAACAAACCAAACCAAACCACCCACAGATAACAGTACATGCAATGCAAGCGTCGTCAGGCAGGCCGGGTCAATATCAATCGGGCAGGTAGGTACAGGGGGAGCAAGCGGAGAATGGTCGGGGTCACAAGCCAGGTTCAGCAGGTAGCGGGCAGCTTGGTACAGAGGGTCAGGCAGAGGGATGGTCAGGAACGAGCCGGGGTCAGAGCAGGAGAAGTCAGCAGAGGTCCAGATCAGGCAAGGTCAGCAACAAGACAGGAACAGGAACAGGATGCAGGAACAGGATACAGGGCCCAGGAGAAAACACACCAAGGCAGAGTCTGCAGGTCTGGCCATCCCTTAAATACACCAGTATAAGCAGTTTCAGTGTGTTTAGCTGGCTGCAAGGTTGAATCTCTGATTGCTGGGAGCACCACTGGCCAGCCCTGGTACTGCAGCCCATAAGGCAGGCGAGTCCCACCATTGCTGGCCAGTCCATTCCTGACAGATAGATAATGAGTGATGCTAATTTCTAAATATTATAAAAAGTGTTATTTCCAGTGGGATTTCCAGTGGGATTTTAAATTTGTTTTTAAATTCGGCATGGATGATTGTGAAAGTAAGACATTTAATGCATGCGATTTTCAGTCCTGCGTCAGTCCCAAAATTCTTGACTGAAAAATGGGTTTTTATTAGCCAGTGTTATGTTAGGAGATGAGTGTTATAATATTAACAACAAATAAATATAGCTTATGGGATATTACTGCAATTTGCAGGCCAGCAGTGTTAGGATTATTAGGAGGTAGCATGATTTAGGAGGTAAACTGATAGCTCAGTGATTACACAATAAAGCAGTCAATAAATACAACTTTGTCTATAGCGTTTCAAAATAAGATCATTTCTGGCCATCATGAGACCAATGATACAACCCATGATGTTTTTACCTAAACCCCATCCAGAAATTACCTATGATATATTTTTCCAAGATACTGTCTGAAATATGTTTTGCATGTCTGTCAATAGGAAAATAATCTGAATCATTCAATGCTGTGCAAATAGGATATTATAAGAATAATTCCATTATTTTCACTGCCTATCCAGTCTCCTTCAATTTTAGTTAAACATTATTACAGCAGAACTCTAGTTAAAAAAGATAAACCGTAAAGCGCCTATTAAAAATCTAATAAAATAAAATTCAATCTACAATTGCTCTCCTCCAAGTAGAATGGTGTTCAGCAAACTCCAGCCTACTTCCTTTGGTCCAATCCCAAACTGTGAATGGACTATAAATGAGATGCAGCACAGCAATGAGCTCTTCTTTCTCCCACTCTTCTTTTCGCTCCTATCCAAATGCACATTGTCAGGGCATGAACTGATTCACTCCGTGAGTTTCCTTTTGTCTCCCACTCTGAGCTCTGCTGTATAGGAAATGCAAGAGGCTGATACTAACTCAATTTCAGATACATGTTCCACAAAGACTTTATTGGGTTTTTAAAGAGTACAAGACGTCCCTGCCTGCTGTCATGGAAATTTTGTATTTACAGGTTGAACTTTAAATGTGTCATATATTAGTGTTATTCATATGTCTCTCGTGTGGCTTAATTAAAGCTCTGAAGGCTGCAATTGGGTCATGCGCATGTACAATGTATGTATTACAGTACTCAGCTCGGTAATGGATGAGATGGCAGATCTGCGCTTATAGACCGGTGTGTATACCACCACGGCATTCAATGCGAATGCTGCCGGCGGTAGGCCGCGGGCCTTTATCCACATATCAGTAGCATAGTACCACATGGACTTCGTATCGCCAGGCGCCAAGCAGTGCGAACTCCGCGTGTAGGCTCATGTATATCTTACAAGCCATTACCGACCTGAACTGTATCTGGATGGATGTGTTTTAATAAAGATCGTATTGGGCCCATTCAGATACAGACTGAAACTGTTTAATCTAGGGGATGCTTGTACAGAGAATGGACATACTGCTAGGAGCTGATAGGATAGGGGGAAGTTTACTCTCCTCAGAGAGCTCCCCATGGGAAAGGGGGAGGGGAGAACTGGTTTCCAGTATAGATAAAAGGAAAGGCTATGCTCCAATCAGGATGTACATTCTGTGTATAGACACTGCCCATGCATTGTTCTGTGGGAGGGGATTGACCTGACTCGTGTGGGGGGGGGCGTGTGTGTGTTTGTAATAAAACCGGAGGCTGAGAATGGAAACGGGCTCTATGTGAATTCCAACAGCAACCTGAGAGTGTCGTGTGATCATTCCTAGGTAACTGGAGCTCCATTTTCCCCACATCTCGAGATAGCTAAACCAGTTGGAGGTGCAGGAATCGTGGAGTTTAGCTGCAGTCGCGGTAAGCGAGATTCGCACAACTTTATGGGGGACTTCTGCGCATCCAACTGCGAATACTCAAGGTAAGGAGAAATTCGGTAAAAGCGAATTTCCAAGACACTGCTAACAGTGGCAATAAAGGACAGAAAGAAAACATTTTGAAAAAAGTGTATAGTATTTAACATGAAAAAGAGCACAATCAAACCAAGTATGCTGAATTGGCATGGTCTTCTTGAGCAAGAATGTGGGATATGTCCCTCAAAACCAGTGTATGAACGTCCATATGCAAAAAACCCACTCTCTCCTAATGCACCAAGGGAAGTATAAACCTCATAGTAAATTTGGTTATGGGGGGGGGGGGGTCTGTGGGCATGAATCAGGCATTGAGGAGAAGGATTATGTAGGGAAACACAGTTCGACAGATTAACATGTTAGACAGCTGAAGTAAAAGAGAATAGAATAGGAAAAAAGAAAGAGAAAAATGTCAAGAAACAGCTGAGAGGGGGTTGGGGTATAAGAGAGGGAGGAGAAGAGACGGGGAGAAAAAGAGGGACAAGAAAAGGGGGGGAAGATAAGGGGGGGAAGGAGGATGCATCCACTGGGCACCTGAAATCAACCACCTCCCACTTGTCTCCAAGCTGCTGCCTTCAGCAGAAAATAAGTTAGCCACCAGATTCTGAGTGCTCCCGACACAAGGTATAAGGGCAATAACCCAGCCTTGGATTATCTGAATAAGAGGTCTAGGGGGCACCTCCCATAAGTCAGGTGTATTCTGGGGTTGTTTGGAAATGAAGCCAACAAGACCAGGTTTTTTGTGATATTTGAAGTTTTGTTGTATAAGATCGCAATCAGTTCTTTCATCTCTAAAATTTTCTGGAGTCTAAGGAACCATTCCTGAATGGTCAGGGCTTGTTGGGACACAGAGCTTGGTGGCATTAATATCAAATACTTACACTGCTTGCATTTTTAAAAAAATGCATTTAATAAAATGTAACAATGACTACAGAGATGCATGATTATGTTTCTTTTATTTCTGCCTAGACTTGAGCTTTAAGTGTTTATATTGATGCTGTATACCTATAGTTGTAAAATGTATATAAGATATTCATTTTACAAATAGATATTTAGTACAGGGTGCAGCCAGTACACAGGATTCACAGAAAACTATGGGTTTTCTAAAGAGAAAGCACAAAAGAACCTATTTGCTTTCATGGTCTCTCTCTGACTGAAACATCTTGTGATTCATACAGCTGCATGTTCATTTTATCATGAACTATTGTGCTCTCTAAACAACAGGCTTCTTCAGAAACGCAAGTAGTCTGTCAGAAGTGTGTGTGTATATATATATATATATATATATATATATATTGGTTCGAATCCCAGCCACGGCACCACCTGCCTGGAGTTTGCATGTTTCTCCCTGTGCCTGCGTGGGTTTCCTCCGGGTACTCCGGTTTCCTCCAACACTCCAAAGACATAATGGTAGGTGAATTAGCTCCTGTCTAAATTGGCCCTAATATGTGTATGTATGAATGTAAGTTAGGAACCTTAGATTGCACACCCCTTTGAGGGTTAGGGACTGATGTGAATGTACAATATATATGTGTAAAGCGCTGCGTAAATTGACGGCGCTATATAAGTACCTGAAATAAATAAATATATATACTCTATGTTGCCAAAAGTGTTAGGATGCCTGCCTTTACTTACACATGAACTTTAATGGCATCCCACAAAGTTGGAAGCATGAAATTGTCCAAAATGTCTTGGTATGCTGACGCCTTTAGAGTTCTCTTCACTCGAACTAAGGGGCCAAGTCCAGCCCCTGAAAAACAATCCCACACCATAATTCCCCTTCACCAAAATTTACACTTGGGACAATGCAGTCAGGCAAGTACCATTCTCCTGGCAACAGCCAAACACAGACATGTCCATCAGATTGCCAGACAGAGAACACATCTCCACTGATCTAGAGTCCAGTGGCGGCGTGCTTTACACCACTGCATCTGATGCTTTGCATTGCACTTGGTGATGTAAGGCTTGGATGCAGTTGTTCGTTCATGGAAACCCATTCTAT